AGGGGCACGGTTTGGGGGTGTCCTCCTCAGAACCCCCCCAGGGGCACGGTTTGGGGGTGTCCTCCTCAGAACCCCCCCGGAGGGCACGGTTTGGGGGTGTCCCCTCACTTACCCACGCAGGTGAGGTACACGGTCGCCCTGCCCACGGGGACTGCTCCGTCCTCCCCGAAGTAGGAGATCCTGACCTGCAGGGAGGAGCAGGAGCTCGGCACGGTCCCGGCACACCCCCGGCCCCGCCAGAGCCCCAGCACCCACCTTCTCGTCCCCCACGTCCTTGCTGACGGTGTCCATGGCCACCTGCACCTCGTGGGTGTCCAGGGGCCAGCGGCACACGCTGGAGGGCAGTTTGGTGCTCTGGGAGTCGTGGACCACGTAGAGCTTCACCCCCGCCGTGCCCTGCACGTGGAAGGCCACGGCGTCCTTGGGAGCGGAGCTGGGAGGGGTGGGAAGCACAGTGAGAGCCCCACGGGGGGGATTCCTGGAATATTGGTCATGGGCAGTGAGGGGAAACCCTGGTGTGGGCAGGGAGGCCGGTGGGGTGCCAGGATTGTGAGGCAAGGAGAGGGAAAGGCAGATTGTCCCTGGAAAATGCAAGTGCAACAAGGGCTGGGGCATGAATTTGGGGTAGATCTGTCAATATGGAAGAAATCCCGACATTTAGCGCAGCAACAAGTGGTGCAAAACGCAGTGAATCCTGAAAAATGAAAGCACAACAAGTGCTGGGGTGTTGAATTGGGAAAAATCCTTCAGTATGGAACAAATCCTGCAGTTGAGAGCAGCACTGAGTCCTGAAAAATGCAGCTAATCCTGGAAAACGCAATGGCAACAAGTGCTGGGGGGTGAATTTGGGGTCAATCTTTCAGTATGGAAAAAATCCTGACATTTGGAATAGCAACAGGTGGTGCAAAAATGCAATTAATTCTGGAAAATTCAAGTGTAAGAAGTGCTGTGATATGAATTGGGATAAACCCTTCAATATGGAACAAATCCTGAGGTTTAGAATTGCAGCAAGTTCTGAAAAATGCAATTAATCCTAGAAAATGCAATGGCAACAAGTCCTGAGATATGAAAGTAGGATAAATCCTTCAATATGGAAAAAAATCCTGCAACTCAGGGGGGCAAAAAGTCCTCAAAAATGCAAATAACCCTGGGAAATGCAACTGCCACAGACCCTTTGAGGAGAAATTGGTATAAATCCTTCAATATGGAACAAATCCTGACATTTAGAACGGAAACAAGACCTGAAAAATTCAATTACCCCTGGAAAATGCAACTTCAACAAGGCCTAGGATATGAAACTGGGATAAATTCTTCAACATGGAACAAATCCTGCAATTTAGAATTGCAGCAAGTCCTAAAAAATGCAACTGCAACAAGCCCTGTCATGGGAAATTGGGCTAAATCCCTCAACATGGAACAGATCCTGCAATTGAGAATTACAAGAAGTCCTGGAAAATCAGAGAATCACAGAATCAACTGGGTTGGAAAAGATCTCCAAGGTCATCCAGCCCAACCCTGGATCCAACCCCACCGTGGTTCCCAGCCCATGGCACTGATGCCACATCCAGTCTCACCTTCAACACCTCCAGGGACGGGGACTCCAAACCTCCCTGGGCATTCCAATGGCTGAGCACTCTCTGTAAGAATTCCTTCCCAATATCCAGCCCAAACCTCCCCTGGCACAGCTGAAGACTGAACCCTCTTGTCCTGCTGCTGCTTCCTGGGAGCAGAGCCCGACCCCCCCTGGCTCCCCCCTCCTGTCAGGGAGTTGCAGAGAGTCAGGAGGTCTCCCCTGAGCCTCCTCTTCTCCAGGCTGAGCCCCCCCA